ACATAAATAAGTTTCTTACGAGCCAAAACTTCTCTACTGGCTCTCTAGCAAATTTATTGATGATCGGTCCATAATTGACCCTATCCTACTTTATTGGAAACCAATAAAGTAATTTTTGCGCTTTTAGCAAAAAAATTTTTAGTATGTTACCTATAAAGTAACCACATACCAACTTCTTTTATAAATCCTGCTGTCATAAACATTGCTCATAATACTATTTGCAGTTTTTTACAAAAAGTATGTATGTAGTAGTTTAAAAAAATCTTTACAAATTAAATTTATGTTTAAAATTTTAATACAAGCTAAATCCCACAATAAATATATTAGAATATTTTATAATACATAATTTGAAGTCATGAAAAAAATTTACATATGTATGTATTTACATTGTTCATATACTTACATACATATAGAATGTGTATAGAATAAAAAATTTACTATAGGGGATACTTTTTTTTAAAGCCATAAACAATAATTAGTATTCTTGCTTTAGCAAATAAGAGAATTTTGTTTAAATAACATCAATTTTTCACAATTAGTTTAAGTTACATTACAATAACATTTCTTTTGCATATAAGTCAGATAGATAAAGATCAGGGGAAATGGCAAAGGAGAAAAGTAAATAACTATATCATACACAGGCCAACGAACGAGTGATTGTTCCAATTTTTGGAGATAAAGTAGTATATTTGACGTAGTTATTATTTTCAAAATATCTTGAAAATTACAGTCTGTAGCTTGCGTACAAAGTTTACATAGACAGTCAGCCAGCTATGGGGTTAGGGTCAAATGAGGACCTATCTTTATGAAGTTTGGCAAGGTCATCAAGGCTTGTATAAAACCTAGTAGTGATACAAGTATATTTAAATAATTTTAAACTCAAAAGCTCTTTTCGGGGGGTCATGTAAAATAAGGTAAAATAATTGACCGATTTTAACCATTTTCAATAGGCTTCGTCCAAAAAGCGAATGCGCCAGATTTCTTTCAATTGTATTGAAAATTGCGACACAGCCTGATGGACGGACAAGGCATACTTTAAAGTATAGGACGAATATTATTGTGCGTTACATACATCACCACAAACACAATATAGCCTCCTCAATAATGTGGTGTAGGGTATAAATAGAGATTTCTGCCTTAGTTCCTACACACCTCAAGGAGATTTAGTTTAGAATTCAACCTAGATTAGGTTGAATTCAACTAAACATAAAATATACATCCGAATTGGATTCAAAATTTACTCTGATTAAGTTGACTAGGAACCAATTTTATTGACTGGACAGTATTGAACATTCTTAGTGAATTTGGATGATTTTTTTTTGTCATTCCATTTGTAACACATCGAAATATTGGTCACAGACTCACAAAAGTATATATATTCTGGGTCCTTCTAAAATTCTAATAATAATCTAGCCATGTCTGTTCGTTGAAAGCACGATAGAGTCCGAACGAGAGGAGCTAAGAAGCTGAAATTTTGCATAAATATTTGCAGTTTGTTTGCTATTGAAAATGAGTCATATCGGTCCATGTTTTCGCATAGCCCCCATACAAGTGGCTCCCTGAAAAACTGTGTAAACAGTCATAGATGATTTAAAAACATAAGTATGTCAATGAAATTCTACAAAATTTAGTTTTATATGAGTCCTACCCTACCAAATTTTACGAGAATCGGCCCATAATTGACTCTACCCACCATATAAGATCCCCTTCAGAAAATTAATTTAACGCTCATCACTCTTTACCAACTTTTATGTGGATCGGCCCATAAATGACCCTACACTCATTCGAGTATAGCGATGAAATTCGGTACTCTAATATTTTTTTTTTTGGGATCGGCCCATAAATGACCCAAACCCCCATATTAGGTCCTCTTCTGAAAATGTCTATAACGCTCATTACTGGCTTAAAAATATGAAAATAGTGACGAAATTCGACAGACATAAGTTTTATGCCAGCTAAAATCTCTCTACCAAATTTAGTGAGGATCGGTCCATAATTGACCTTACCGCCCATACAAGATCCCCTTCAGTAAATTACTTTAACGCTCTTTACTCGATAAAAAATGTGAGCAATAAAATTTCACACAAGTAAGTTTCTCACAAGATCAAATCTATCTACCAAATTGTATGTGAATAGGTCCATAATTGATCGTACAACCCATATAAGGTCCCCTTCAGAAAATTACTTAAACGATCATTGCTGGCTTAGAAATACGAGTTATGAAATTCGACATAAGAAAGAAAAATGTTATAATAGGTCAATAACTGACCGTGTTCTTCAAATAAGGTCCTCTTCAGAAAATTTGATAGGAGGATTCAGAAAATTACGTGTACAGCAATGAAAATGGACATAAACAAGTTTATACTTAGGAATATAATTCTTCATTCTAAATTGAATGAGTACTGATCTATAACTGACCCACAGTGGTATAGGAAAAAAAAAAGGGGGAAATAATTCGGTAACTTCTAAATGGTTAATCCGATTTTGAAATTTGGTATGCACAAAGAGGAGGTGTTGTCGAGTTTAGGTTTTGAATTTGGACCTTATAGGGTCCTCAAATTAGGATACCTCGGCTATGTTAAATTTTTAAAACGATCCTATGCTAGGTAAATTTTCTAAAAGATCTTTTTTGATGGTGGGTATAAAAAATCCCAAAAATGGGATTTTTTGGTTTTTTGCCTATTATATCCATACCAGGGGCGGGGTTATCGAAACCCGTTACAAAATGATTAAGAACATATTGGGTCATATAAAACAGGTCACTATAATTTGATATCGACTATGCGATTTGAGAATTTTTGCTCAAAATTTAATTTTCCATAAAAAATAGGATTTTTTTGGATGGACCTGGTCCCCTTGGTATCAAAAATGTTTAGGTTTTGTTTCATTTATCGTATATTATGTAAAGTCAGCTTTCCAAAAAGTATAAATTCTATATACATCTTCTTAGAAACTTTTTAGATAACTTAAAAAGAAAAAGATACTTATTTTCCCAAAAAAATTACAAAAAATCGCCTTTTTTTAAATTAAAATGCCTATAACTTTGGACTCAGTCATGATTTTTACACTGCTGGATATATAAACTTGTTGTTAAGCGAATAAAAAAAAATGGCGAAAATCGGGAATATTTGGACCCGCTATTATCAAAAAACTAAAGTAAGGACGGTAAAAATTTTAAAATTTTAATTTTCTAATGCGAATATCTCCTAAACTATAAGAGATAATTTACTGCTACGACGACATTTTTATAGTGCTCGATGAGGAGATTCTATATACGATTTTTTTTAAATCGGAACTCAAATGAAGAAATAGGATCGTTTTAAAAATTTAACATAGCCGAGGTGTCCTAATTTGAGAACCCCCCGCCGGGCCCCTGGTTAGCCTATAAGGTCCAAATTCAAAACCTAAACTCGACGATACCTCTTCTTTGTGCATACCAAATTTCATCAAAATCGGATTAACCGTTTAGACGTTACCGAATTATTTCCCTCTTTTTTTTCCTATACCACTGTGTGACCCTAGCTCCTATAAAAGGTTCCATTCAGGAAGAAGTTTTGGTTATTAAAATACCAGTTTTAGTTAATTAAAAATACGAGTATAGCGATTAGTTCTATACAAAACATCATCCATGTAAGTATCGGTTCATAATTGACGCATATAAAGGTCCTCTTCAGCAAATTACTCATACGCTTAGGGTTGAAAAATTGAAAAAAAAATATTTTGTTTTTAAAAATTAATATTTTGTTAGTTTAAAAGAGCTCGGTCCACAATTGACTTAAGCCATATTACAAATATCTCCTTGATATTTATAGGGGAGCATTCCTTTTACGACATATGGTTTCATGGTGGGTATATGAGATTCGTCACAGCCGAATATAACACTCTCACTTGTTATTATCTAGTATGAGAGATGTACTACATGTATTTAAATTTTATCTCACTATTTGATAACAGTCTTTGTGGAGTAATTCATTTCAATTACTTTTGAAAATTCAATTAAATAAATGTCATATCTATTTTGACCTCAATAGACTATTAGATTTTTCTTGTTTAAATAATATAAACTCTGTACTAATTTTACATAAATCTAGATTTTTAATTATTTAGAAGAGCTTTCATTTTTTTTTATTAAAAATAAAAATATTAAAAAACTAACATGAGTTTCTTTGTACATTGTTTTAATATTTTTATTTACATTGTTTATTTATTCTAATATTTAGTATGATTATTTATTATTATTATTTCTTTTTTAACAACCCCAAAGGTAATTTTTATGTTGATTAGTTGGGGAATAAATTGCAAATATATGTTTATTTATTTGTCGACAACAAGAGAGTGATATTCTAATTTGTAAATATTTTAGAAGTTTATAAAAGAAATTAGTTTTGTTTTTTTTGTCAAAATAACTAAAAGCTGGTTTACTTCTTCTTGTTTTTTGGTAATTTTTCCAAATAGTTTTTGTTATTGCTCTTTTTCTCAGTCTTTTGTTATAATCCCCCTACTTTGGTTATTTGTCAGAAATATTAGAACAAATGTTAAAATTTATTTAGTACAATTTCAAAGTATCTTAAAATAATACTACTATTTATTTGCTTGAGTAACTAAAAGAATAATAGTAGTAATTTAAATAATAAATCATGTTTATACAAAAAACTGTTTCATATTTGCTGGTAAAAGTTTAGATGGAAACAAATATTTTTCAAAGCAATTTGTTGACAGACAAATATATGAGGTTTTAATTAATATTAATGGAATGTCTGGAATAATTTAAGAGAAATGTTATAATTTAAGGGGATTTTGAAAAAAAAGTTAGTTATTTTCTATTGTTTTTAGGGTTTGCAAGTATAATTTTTTAACAAGAAGTCCAATGTTCAGAAATTCACTACTTTATTCAGCTTTAATAAAGCTTAATATTAATAAATATAAATTGAGGTCAACACCAAACAAAAAATAATAATAATTTTGATATTTTTCATTTTCTCTTTTAATAATTGTTGCAGACATGCTCCATATAAAATATCCACATGGTCGAGCACAAGCGGAAGTCAATACAATGGCAGTAACGACAACAGGTCAACACACCAAAGGCCGTAACAGCAACAATATAAATGGCACAACTGTGGAGTTTCAGCCAGATTTGTTGCCAGCTTATGCAGGAAATAAAATCAACAGCAAACAGCAGCAGCAGTCACATCAGGGAGATCAACTGTATAGTCCGGTTATAACACCAGGTTCCACAACAATCAACAAGACAATAAATATGATGGAGGACCAACAACAACAGCAGCAACAACAACAAAACCATATAGTTACGGCCAATGCAACATTGCCAGTAAATGCAAGTAGTCGCAGCAAATACAATACCAGTGCTCAAGAGTATTTACAGGCCAGATTTGGTACGATTACTAAAAAACAAACAAAAAGTCAAGAAAAACTAAATACCATCAAACGCGAAACTCCTACCATAGCAGCCTTGGCCACGGGCACAAGTTCATTGACTGTAACACGATCTTCCCCCAGTGCGGAGGTGCTACAACAGGCGGCCAGTCGTCAAACTAAATCTTTATTTTTACCCCAGCGCACCGTTTGTAGTGCCACCACCACTGTCACACCCACCGATACAACCAACTCCTATGAATATCGTCAACCTCCACCACCACCCTACAATGCCACACATCGTACGGCTGGGAATTTGCTGTTGACAAGACGTACCAGCATAAATCAACATGACAACAACGAGGACAACAACAAGAACAGTAATACCAAGGATCAAGGCTATCGGGAATTGGGTGGGAGTAGTGCCGTCGGCATACCGCTCTATGAAACAGCTAGACAAACTATTGTTACTGCCTCACCTTCAATGAATTTTCCTACCACTATAACGGGCTACAATATGAATACTGCTTCACCAAGACGACAACTGCTGTGATAAATTTAAAAACAAAGTTTAAACACAAAATTAAAGAGAAAAGCAAAAACAAAAACGAAACTTGAATGAAAGAAATAAAGACTATAATTAGGTATGAATAGGAATACTTGATTATTATTTTTTTTGTTTTCATCTCATAGAAAGCCATAGGCAGACTAAGGACATAAAGTCACAGAGTCACTAAACCATACAAAACCAACAAACAGTCCTACAGCAACTGTTAATACAAAATAGTAGCAAAAAAAAAAAAAAAACTAGCAACTCCGAACTGAAAGTCAATAATTTAGTGACATTTATGGGCATATTTAGTAAAGCATCCTTTACAAATGTTGTTCTGTTTTATGTCATTCCAAATATACAACTACATGCCCCAGAGCATATCTCAGAGTAAGGGATTTAAAGTCATCTAAAAGCTACTGTTGTATGTATGACTGACTGTTGGTTGTTTCGTTAAATGGTTTTTTATTTAAATTTTTTTTTCTTCGGACACATGGTGTCCTGTAATATAATTTGTAAAGACAAAAATCCCATAATTGGATATTTACCATGTTACCATAGCGTTAACATGCCACATATCATGTGCAGTCTGTGTTGCTGTGGTAAATGTTTGCGGATAAAATAAAAATGGGCAGCTGGAAACTAATTGGTGATCTTTTTAGTATTGTATGTAGAACAAATAATATGTAATAAAAGATAACTGAAAAACCAACAGGAATGTAATGAAAATGAATATTTAAATAATTATATTAATAAAGAAACAAATAAAAAAATAAATAAATAATACAGTGTTGCATTATAAGCGATTCTTATTTAGTTAATATAATAAATATAGTAAACACAAAAAAAGTATATTATAAAAAATTAAATATTAATTGTTTTTACTTTCATCAGAAGGGTGTAAAGGTAAGATATTGTTTCCTGCATCGAATGTTTGCCAGAAACCAGTTTTGTTCATCAGTTTGGCCACAGAATGGAAATTGCTCATGCACGCGCCAAAAATGCAAATCTAGTTCTTTCTAATGCACCATGTCTCCTTTTTCTTTTCCTAACGTCAATAATAATTCTTCCATGTTCCTACAAAGAAAATAAAGGCAATTTTCATATCAAAAGGCGCTTTCATATCACACAGTTATGTACGACTAAAAAGAGTATAACAAATTTTAAATTTTTCGGAAACATTTTTAGATTTTGCAAAATTCAATAGAATTATACAATTTTACCGAAATATTTTTCTGTTATTCAAAAACTAGTAAGAGGCCTATGCGAGAACGTAGACCGATATTTCCATTTTCAATACTACAGTGACTTTACCTTAGAAACGGAATGGCAAAACAGAAAACATATTTTTTGCTGGTGCGCATATATAAGCAATACACTACGGCGTATGATGAATATTCCGACATTTATAATAAGTATGCGCTACCAGCAATACCTTCGGAATAAAACAAATACATAGTACGGTTTACACATTGTCCAAAAATCTCTGTAGGCCGTAGTATAGTCCGAATAGACCACATTAACTAACTAACTAACTAACTAACTAACTAACTAACTACTAACTACTAACTAACTAACTAACTAACTAACTAACTAACTAACTAACTAACTAACTAACTAACTAACTACTAACTAACTAACTAACTAACTAACTAACTAACTAACTAACTAACTAACTAACTAACTAACTAACTAACTAACTAACTAACTAACTAACTACTAACTAACTAACTAACTAACTAACTAACTAACTAACTAACTAACTAACTAACTAACTAACTACTAACTAACTAACTAACTAACTACTAACTAACTAACTAACTAACTAACTAACTAACTAACTAACTAACTAACTAACTAACTAACTAACTACTACTAACTAACTAACTAACTAACTAACTAACTAACTAACTAACTAACTAACTAACTAACTAACTAACTAACTAACTAACTAACTAACTACTAACTAACTACTAACTAACTAACTAACTAACTAACTACTAACTACTAACTAACTAACTAACTAACTAACTAACTAACTAACTAACTAACTAACTAACTAACTAACTAACTAACTAACTAACTAACTAACTAACTAACTAACTAACTAACTACTAACTAACTAACTAACTAACTAACTAACTAACTAACTAACTAACTAACTAACTAACTAAACTAACTAACTAACTAACTAACTAACTAACTAACTAACTAACTAACTAACGAACTACTAACTAACTAACTAACTACTACTAACTAACTACTAACTAACTAACTAACTAACTAACTAACTAACTAACTAACTAACTAACTACTACTAACTAACTAACTACTACTAACTAACTAACTAACTACTAACTACTACTAACTAACTAACTACTAACTAACTAACTAACTAACTAACTACTAACTAACTAACTAACTAAAGCTAACTAACTACCTAACTAACTAACTAACTAACTAACTAACTAACTACTAACTAACTACTAACTAACTAACTAACTAACTAACTAACTAACTAACTAACTACTAACTAACTAACTAACTAACTAACTAACTACTAACTAACTAACTAACTAACTAACTAACTAACTAACTAACCATCGTGTAATAAAAGGGCCAAATTTTTATTATACATACCCCTATTCTGTATAAAAGTGTGCCGAGGGACAGCCTTTTTAAAAATTTCATATAGGAATACCACTCAATCGATTTTTTGGGAATGGTCCTCAGTTCCCTAGCGATTGAAACTCCTGGTCTCAGTACCGCCATCAGAAAGGATGGTGGGTATAAACATAAATATTGGTCTAAGACTCAGATTATTATATATTATATATTCTTGATTCTCATTAGATTCTTAGACGACTTAGCCATGTCCGTCCGTTGGAAATACGATAGAGTCCGAACGGAAAAAGCTAGAAGGTTGAAATTTTCCACAAATACATTTTATTGATGCAAGTTATTTGGTATTGAAAAAGGGGAGTATCGGTGCACATTTTCACATAACCCCCATACAAGTGGCCCCGCCGTAAAACAGTTTTAACAGCCAAAATTGGATTAAAAATACACGTATAGCAATAAAATTCCACAAAAACAAGTCTTATACAATCTCTTTACCAAATTCTATGAGGTTCGGTCCATAATTGACCCTGCCCCCATATAAGGTCCCCTTCAGAAAATTACTTTAAAGCTCATTAGTGGCTTAAAGATACGAGTACAGCGATGAAATTCGACATGAACAAGTTTTGACCCTACCCTCCCATTAGAAAAAGGCTTTAACGCTCATTACTGGTTTAAAAATAGGAGTACAGCGACGATCTTCGACATACACAAGTTTTGTATAAACGAAAATCGTGCTGGAAAATTGTACAAAGATCGCGACATAATTGACCCTACTCCCCAAATAAAAGATTTATGAATTATAAAGTTATACACCAAATAAAAATTCAATATTAAATATTAAGCTAATTTAATTTTTTAAATTTAATTATATTATATAATGTCATACATATTTTCCTTATAAGCCGAAACACGAGAGAAGAATTAAAATGTTAAACCTTTTATTGTTTCCCGTCTTCTTTCAATGTTGATTATGCAAATTTCCATTATGAAATAATCATTTCTGTTGCTCTAGCTGAAATAATTTGAAATAAATTTAGCAATATTATGATAAGTATTGCAGGTATAACGAGTAAGAGTACTGAAATAAAATATCCTGATAGAAAGTAGAAGAAATATAATAAAAATAATATTTTTTAAATTCATATAAATTGTAGATTGAATGTAGAAGAAGTTGGTTGATTGCATGAGAATCAGATTGCAAAGAAAAGTAAATCTTTATGAAAGCAATTGTTTTCCACACAGTCACAGCAAAAGTTCAATGTGCAGAGAAGGAAATATTGCGCTGCTGTAGATGCCATACCGAACAATAGGCATGTATGGATGGCATGAATACTGAATTCTACACATTTCCTGTGTTTACTTTACAAACTAGATCAACGAAGCATTTGAGCACAAGAACATAATAATAGACATCATAGCAATGATGTCGTTTGAGACTTGAAGGTATTTATTCTATTAATTTAAAATAATGTTTGTTGTATAAGGAAAAATATATTATTTCTACGAATAAGGAATTAAATTTAAATAGAAGACAAATTAAGCTTATTTCTAAAGGATTTTGTTGTTTTATAATGAATTTCATTTAATTGATTTGACTATTGAACGAATTGAGCTCGAGAGGAAGTGGGATATTTTTCTAAATTATGTTTTATTGTTATTATATACGGATGTGTTTATAAGGATATTTTCATCTGGTTTAATTCTATAATAAAACAGCTTTGTAATTTCTTGTTGTTTTTTTTTTGGGGAAAAAAAGTTATTGACCAGTGTAACACATTTCCATGACATGAATAAGTTTTAATTAATTATAATTCATTCTTTTACCAACATGATTTTTTTTAATCAGAAAAACAAACAAATTTAAAGGAAAAAAGTCACAACTAAAGCTTTAACATACACACCATCAACTTTCATCAGCTGCAAGGCATTTGGCATACAACAAAAGGAAATCTACAACTTGAGAGGATTCTGAGGGAAAAAAAATTACAAACAAAAAACACAAATCAAATAGAAGAAGATGAATAGAGGAAAAGTAAAAACCTCAGTAACGCAGAGAAACACATTCATTTATACTCTTATTTGACTGAATAGAAACAAACGAACGAGCAAATGAATGAACGACTCGAATGAATGAAACTGACTGAAGGCCATCATGAATATTTGTATATATGTGTGAATCGTTGTTGTTCTTGCTGCAGGATTTTTCATGACAACCAACACTACCTGTCCTTGACATTCTGTCATTTAAGTTGATTGTCAATTCAACAACTGTATTAGAAGAAAATCATGTTTCATGCTATTCATTTTAACGAATACAATTTACTTAACATAAATAGTTAGGTATTTCGCTATAATGAGTATGGATTGATTTATTATGACATTTGTAACAAAATACTTAAATTCATCAACTTTGAATGATGTCGAGTTTAAATATTATTTCATTGAAATTGAAATATTACTCATACGTTTGGTGATTTCTTCCTTTAAATTTCATAGGAAAATACGAATTTAGACTTTTTAAATTGAAATGTTATTGGTGAAACTCTGCTGACTTACTATTGACACAGTCAACAGTACTGGTGACTGTTTATACCCCGGATAATGCTATTTATTGTCCGCATTTAACATTTGTATGTTATTGGAAATCTACTTCTGACGCTAATGTATTGACCACTTGTAGACATACTAATCACAAAAATAGCTTCAGACAGAAGCCAAATAAGATTTAATCTAAGACCGTATTGGACTTTAAGAGATCCATAACAGAAGCTCCTGGGCTAAGCTCTGTGTCATATAGATACCAGGTATTTTGGAGATAATTTACAATAAAACGTACTTGCTGTGAGGGGAAGAGAGCCTGAGGAAATTTATATGATGAATACAAGAACGTTCCAAGCAACGAAGTAGGATAACAAAAATCCTATAAGATGACCTCAACATGAGCTGAATAAGAAGGCTCCTCAGAATGAATAAGTCCATGATTAATATGATAGTACATATTCAAGGTGGACACGCAGGTTTGTGGAGACAAGAAGTCAAAGTGCTTTACAGGGTGAGCTTATTAGACAACTCACTACCGTTCTGCCGATCCATGTCATGCACTTTGCTCAAGTACTCTATCTATCTAATCTCTTGCCACAATAGCCCCTTAGCGAAATGACAGGCAATCACTAGTTTAAAGCCAATAGAAGAGGTGTACCC